TATAAATCATCTTGACATTTGCACTAAAGAACAGGTTCATTTTGTTACCATCACAACAAAATGCAAATACAAAAGTTCTTTATACAGATAACTGGCTGCCTGCGGCTAATTCGCTGACTGTGCAACATTTGCTGTTTGTACTTCGTACAATTAATCCAGGAGGAGCTCTGTGCTCAGCTGCGGCTGGAAAAGGTAGTTGCTGTAGTATCAGCTGTAACATAACAGATCATCGCTGTCCTGAGATTTTCTGTACATCAAATCACTGATTACTATGGCTCGGGAGAAACAAGCTGCCTTGTGCGTTCATGGCAGGAGAACATTTAACAATGTAAATGGAACACAGCAATGTCCTGACCAGCCTGCTGTACAGACACCATGTTCCTCACAGCATGGACAGTAAACAGAGATTCAGCTGAGCACCACAATCTCTACTCCAGTTTCCGAAAGTTCAATGTTTGGCCAAAGTCTGACTGTACATCTCACCTCCATATGCTACCTATGGCCAGGGAAAAACCTTAAAAACACGCAAGCATTGTTCAATCCTCGGATATAAAATGATAGTTTATACAACTGGGGGAATCAATGGTGGAGAAGGATCTGGGGGTTCTGGTAGATCACAAGCTTAATAATGGCAGCAATGCCAAGCTGCGGGTTCTAAAGCGAGCAAAATCCTCTCTTGTCTTAAAAGAGGTATAGACTCCAGAGAGAGATATCATTCCCCCGATACAAATCATTAGTAATACCTCATCTGGAATATGCAGCTCAGTTTTGGGCACCAATTCACAAAAAGAACATTGGGGAACTGGAGAAAGTACAGAGAAGGGCAACCAAACTGATAAGAGGCATGGAGGAGATCAGCTATGAGGAAAGATTAGAGGAACTGAATTTATTCTCTCTTGAGAAGAGGAGATTAAGCGGGGATATGATCTCCATGTATAATACATAAGAGGGGATATGATCTCCATGTATCACCATAAGGGGGGGATATATCTCCACGTATACATAAGGGGGGGATATGATCTCCATGTATAATACATAAGGGGGGATATGATCTCCACGTATAATACATAAGGGGGGGTATGATCTCCATGTATAATACATAAGGGGGGGTATGATCTCCATGTATAATACATAAGGGGGAGTATGATCTCCATGTATAATACATAAGGGGGGATATGATCTCCATATATAATACATAAGGGGGGATATGATCTCCGTGTATAATACATAAGGGGGGATATGATCTCCGTGTATAATACATAAGGGGGGATATGATCTCCATGTATAACACATAAGGGGGGATATGATCTCCATGTATAATACATAAGGGGGATATGATCACCATGTATAACACATAAGGGGGGATATGATCTCCGTGTATAATACATAAGGGGGGATATGATCTCCATGTATAATACATAAGGGGGGATATGATCTCCGTGTATAATACATAAGGGGGGATATGATCACCATGTATAATACATAAGGGGGGATATGATCACCATGTATAATACATAAGGGGGGATATGATCACCATGTATAATACATAAGGGGGGATATGATCTCCATGTATAATACATAAGGGGGGATATGATCTCCATGTATAATACATAAGGGGGGATATGATCACCATGTATAATACATAAGGGGGGGATATGATCACCATGTATAATACATAAGGGGGGATATGATCTCCATGTATAAAATACATAAGGGGGGATATGATCTCCATGTATAATACATAAGGGGGGATATGATCGCCATGTATAAATACATCAGTGGTTCATATAGTGAACTCGGTGTAGAGCTATTCCCCCTGAGGTCATCACAGAGGACAAGGGGGCACTCTTTACGTCTGGAGGAAAATAAATTTAATCTCCAAAACACGGAAAGGTTTCTTCACAGTGAGAGCTGTGAAAATGTGGAATAGACTCCCTCAAGAGTTGGTTCTGGCCAGCTCAGTGGATTGCTTTAAAAAAAAAGTCCTGGATTCTTTCTTAGATACACAGAATATAACTGGATATAACATTTATAGGTAAAGTTGATCCAGGGAATATCCGTATTGCCTCTCAGGGGGTCAGGAAGGAATTTTTTTCCCCATCAGGAGTAAATTGGATCATGCTTTGCTGGGTTTTTTTTTTGCCTTCCTCTGGATCAACTGTGGGTATAGGATTATAACTTTTTTTTTTAATGGTTGAACTGGATGGACTTTTGTCTTTTTGCAGCCAGACTAACTATGTAACTATGTATCTGTAAGCATTTCAGAAACATCACGTAGCATTACTTAGCTCTAGCTTGGACCAATGTAACTGTGTACATAGCATTTCTGGTTGATGCCTCTGGAAGCTGGAAATCAGTGAATTAGACACAACTACCCCAGTGATCTCCACTTGCTTCCAGGTCCCGGGCTGAGCAGCCATCCTAAAGCAGTCTGAACATAGGTTGGCCACTTTGCATTTATTTTCTGAAAGAACGCAAAGCATCCTCTGATTGGATGAGATGGAAAGGTGGGGCCTTGACATTATGATCTCCACCTCATCCAATCAAAGAACGCCTTGCATCCTTTCAGAAAATGTAAAGCATTCTGTGACTGTCGCTCCTGCTGAGCGTCTGACCTCCTGTGTTATTGCATCAGACCAGCATCTCAGCACAGGACCTGGAAGCAAGTGGAGATCGCTTGAATAGCAGCATCAGTGATTTCCAGTTTCAGGGGCATCAGCCAGGTACGGTGTATACAAAGCTGCATAGTTTCATTAGTCCAAGCTGGACTAATGTAACTATGTATTAACTATCCATACCAGGAATTCCTCTTTAACTTAGCAGCACAGTGGCTAAATGGTTAGCACTTCCACCTGGCAGTACTCGGGTCGTTGGTTCGAATCTCAACCACGGCAGCACCTGCCTGGAGTTTGCAAGTTCTCCCTGTGCCTGCATGGGTTTCCTCCCACACTAAAAAGACATGCTGGTAGGTGAATTGGATCCTGTCTAAATTGTCCCTAGTATGTGCATGTATGAATGTGAGTTAGGGACCTTAGATTGTATGCCCCCTTGAGGGTTAGGGACTGATGTGAATGTACAATATATATGTAATGTGCTGCGTAAATTGACAGCGCTATATACAGTGGGGCAAAAAAGTATTTAGTCAGCCACCAATTGTGCAAGTTCTCCCACTTAAAAAGATGAGAGAGGCCTGTAATTGGCATCATAGGTAGACCTCAAATATGAGAGACAAAAGTAGAAAAAAAAATCCAGACAATCACATTGGCTGATTTAGAAAGAATTTATTTGTAAATTATGGTGGAAAATAAGTATTTGGTCACCTACAAACATGCAAGATTTCTGGCTCTCACAGACCTGTACCTTCTTCTTTAAGAGGCTCCTCTGTCCTGCACTCATTACCTGTATCAATGGCACCTGTTTGTACTTGTTATCAGTATAAAAGACACCTGTCCACAACCTCAAACAGTCACACTCCAAACTCCACTATGGTGAAGACCAAAGAGCTGTCGAAGGGGATCTTCTCCCTCCCGCTAGCTGTTGCAATTTTAAAAAAAATGGGGCTGTGCGGGGCTCCGCCAGCCCAGCCGTGTCACTCAACCACAGAGTTCTGTGAATGAGAACACTACAATCTCTGACAGCCTTTGCTGAACAACCATGGCGCTGTGGAGAACCGTGGTAGTTCATTGATTCTTCCTGTCAGTAAGTATCTACGAGGTGTATGGGCACACAGATACACTGACAGGTCTGCAGGAGACCTGCATGGCACCAGTGATCAGCTGATCACTGGTGAAATACTTTACAGGCTCCAGAGACAAAAAATAAATGCACATTTTTTTACCCGCAAAAGAAAAAAAAATAATTAAAAAATATGCATTTATTATTTTTTGTTTAAAAGGTGAACTTATCCTTCAAGGGAATCGCTTGGAGACTCCCAGGTCCCCAGAACTAGTGTCCCCATTGTAAGATGTCTATTATTTTCTGGGGACAACCCAAAATTTGGGATTTTTTTTTACTTTTATTTTCAAGGATAAATGGTAAAACAGGACAAATAGAGAGGGTAAACCACTTGACCACAGGAAGGTTTTTCCCCCTTCATGACCAGGGCAATTTTTTTTTGCTAATCAGCACTGTGCTACTTTAACAAGCGATTGCTCGGTCTTACAACCGTGTACTCAAAATTACATTTTTATCATTTTTTTTTTCACACCAAGCAAGCTCTCTTTTGTTGGTATTTAAATCACGCTTGTGTTCTTTTTAATTTTTGCTATACAAATTAAAAAAAAAAAAATACTGTAAATCTTGAAAAGAAACAAAAAAAAACAAAAAAAAACAAAAAAAAAAAAAAACAAGCCACCTTTTTCTGTTATAAAATTTTGCAAACAATCTTTGTTCATGGATTTAGGTAAAAAGGTATTATGTTACATGTCTTTGGTAAAAATAACCCAAATCAATGTACATTATTTATTTATTCTGTGTGAAAGCTATGGAGTCTAAAATCTATGTATATGTATATTCAATATATATATATATATATATATATATATATATATAATATATATATTTTCAATATATATATTGAAAATTGTTCAGTTCTGCTGTACTGACAGAATATCTCATTTCTTGAGGCCTAAAAATACCTCCAAAATGCTGTTTATTGCAAAGTATAGAGTCCAAGTTATTGAAGCCATTCATGACTGATGTTTATATTGTAATCAGGTGATTGCTATGATTGATCATAGCGATCACATGATACCCCGGCTTGGAGCTTGAAGGGGACATGCCGCGAAAAAACGTCTCCTGAAAATTTGGATGGCAGTGCAAATAAAACAAGTATCGCTACTCAACTGTCCTTTTTGTAAGTGCATTAATATGGCTACAATTATCTCAAGCATTCAAGTATCTCAAAACCAATCACAGAATGTAACCTATGACCGGTTCTCATTTGGTCAGATAAAATGAACACGTACTGGTACCATTTTTCCCACTTTTGCAACGCTTACCTTTGTTTCATACCCAGTCAGAAATTTGAGATCTCTGGATTTCTGGAGAACTCTTGCTCGATCCCCTTCTGCTGCTGCTTTCACAACCTGTGTGATTTAGATTGTTCATTAGAGCTTTTTAGGTTAGAGCATCACATGCACAACTGCCAGGGACAACAAGAACCACCTTCCTTTGGAACCTTTCAATTCAGAGGTCTGAACATTAGGGAGTAAAATCTAGTGTTCCACTAGAACAAAGCTTAAAGCAGAGCTCCACCCAAAAATGGAAGTTCCGCTTTAAGGACTGCTCTCCCGCTCCCCATTAAGGATTGGCACCTTTGGGGGGAATTGACAGGTACCCACTCCCACTTCCGGTCCGATCGTCTAGGCGATCGGCAGGTGTCCTCCCTCCCTCCCTGTAGTCTTTTGGGACACGTGACAGGTCCCAGAAGACTAGAGGACCATTATTCATGAAGCGCAGCACTACTCGCACATGCGCAGTGGGTACCCGGCTGTAAAGCCGCAAGCTGTCACAGCCGGGTGCCCACACTGAATATGCCGGCCTTCTGGAATACAGGACGGCCGGCGAAACGGGCTACCGGGGGACACACCACGGGACTGAGGGACAGGCAAGTGGCTGTTTTTTAACAGTCAGCAGCTACAGTTTTTGTAGCTGCTGACTTTTATTTTTTGACAGGGTGAATGGCACTCCGCTTTAATCCAAATTTGCACTCAGATCACTAAATGGCCCAATTTTTTTCTGCCATCTAAAGTCAACAAGGTCTGTAGAAAAGGTTTATGAACTGGAGAGAGCAGAAGAATGCTGCAACTGGTGAAACTGCTTTATTGATGCCCCATAACGGGACTCTACAACCCAAACTCTTTGAGGTTTTTCAGAATATACATTAAAATGTTCATAATTAACATTCTTAGTTGGTAGCATAAAGTGAATCACCTAACTTAAGGACACAGCCGACCAGGGGCGGACTGACCATTTGGAAACTCGGGCACTGCCCGAGGGCCCGGGGTCAGTAGGGGGCCCCATGAGATGCCCCTGGTACCTTTTTCATAGGCTTTTTTGAGTTTGGGCAAAGACACAGGGGCCCCATAATCCCCTATTGCCCGGGGGCCCCATGAGTTGTCAGTCCGCCCCTGCAGCCGACATACCTATGAATTATGGAAAAATATGACAACACCTGTGCATTAGACACATTTAATGAATATTTAACAAATTAAACACAAAAATGTACAGAGTGTGGAGGGGTTAGACCAGGGGTGGGCAAACTTTTTGACTTGAGGGCCGCAATGGGTTCATATATTGGACCCGGGGGCCGGACCAAGAGTAGATGAATGATGTGTATGTGTCATCCATAGTAAGTATAGTAATATTCCCCCATAGTAAGCATAGTAATTAATCCCCCATATAGTAATTCATCCCCCATATAGTAATTCATCCCCCATAGTAATTCATCCCCCATATAGTAATTCATCCCCCATAGTAATTCATCCCCCATAGTAATTCATCCCCCATATAGTAATTCATCCCCCATATAGTAATTCATCCCCCATAGTAATTCATCCCCCATATAGTAATTCATCCCCCATAGTAATTCATCCCCCATAGTAATTCATCCCCCATATAGTAATTCATCCCCCATATAGTAATTCATCCCCCATATAGTAATTCATCCCCCATATAGTAATTCAATCCCCCATATAGTAATTCATCCCCCATAGTAATTCATCCCCCTTATAGTAATTCATCCCCCATAGTAATTCATCCCCCATATAGTAATTCATTCCCCATATTAATTCATCCCCCATATAGTAATTCATCCCCCCTATAGTAATTCATCCCCCATATAGTAATTCATCCCCCCTATAGTAATTCATCCCCCATATAGTAATTCATTCCCCATATTAACTCATCCCCCCTATAGTAATTCATTCCCCATATCCCCATATTAAGTCCCCAAGTCCCCCCTGTGTCAATTTACTTACCTTTGCTCCGCGCGTTCCTCTCGCCGTGTTCCCGCGCCGTTCCGGTCTTCAGGGCGGACTGTGAGAGGAGCCTAGCTCCCCTCACGTTCGTCACGCTGCCCCGCCTACACACATCCTGACAGCCATCCTGACAGTATCACGCTCCGTGGGCCGGATTAAAAGGTCCGCCGGGCCGTATACGGCCCGCAGTTTGCCCATTGCTGGGTTAGACCCTTTTGTCAAGTTTTTATACCATCTGTGTTCCTCCTGGGAAGATTCATTCTTTCTCTATATTTTGGTCAGAGATGTCAAAAAAGAAATAAAAGTGATGGGAAATCCTTATTTCAAAGATATCACCAGAACAAAAAGGTGAGGGTAAGTTCCTGGTCACACCGGTGCAGCTTGTAATGCGATTTGAGTTTCAAATCACAAGACAAGTCGCACTCTATTTTCTGCAACGGAAGCGGTCATATTGGTGCGATTCTGTCTCCGGAGTCACACCAATTTTGAAAGTACTTTTTGCAAGTTCAGGTGCGAATTGCATTGACATCTGTGCATGAAATCGCACGGATGTCTTCGCAGTCACACAGACTTTGAAATCGTGTGATTTCAAGTGAAGTCGCACAATTTCAAAGTCGGATTTGGTGTGACTGAAGATTAAATCTTCAAAAGGGGACAACTGTTCCACAGATTGCTAAGGAGGGGACTTCCCATCAATGTGGAAAGATTTCCTCTCACTTTCTGTTGCGTCTAAAAGGGCAAGAAGTGAAAAGGGAATCCCCCTAATGGATAAAGACAGCAACTGACCGCAGTTCTACCTAAAACATTACTGCTTCAGCACTCCTTATGATGTGGTTCTAAAATTATACTGTGAAATATAGACAAATGATACACACCTCAATATAATCATCTGTGAATTTCTCCCCAAATTCTCGACTGGCTCCAAAGTCCAACAGCATGACCTAGAAAACGAAAACTTGTTATAGAGGAACTGTAGACTTTTTATAATTTTTCGGATATATATCTGAAAATGATCTGCCAAGTGTAAGACAAATAGATGTTCTGTCAGATATTATAATATACCATTTAAAGGAGGAACTGAAAGTGACATATGTATACATTTCATGCACTTTTCACTTGCTGACCATGAAAGACCAATGTAGCCAAGAACTGTGCCCTTCCCCATTTACAAAGTATAGTTTTAATAAATGTACTACACTCTGATGGGTTCTATTTTTTAGATTATAACTAAACTCAGGGCAAATTTTTTTCCCCATGTAGTGGGGCTGTGCCAACATTGCATGGATTAACTGCTCGTTTTTGTCTAGGAGTCTGGAGAATGGAGATATACTTACCTAATCCTCTGCTCCTCCCAGACCGATCCTTGCAGCTCCTGCCCCCCCCGCAGTCTAACAGTCTTGTGTGGTGGACTGTTCCTGACGTCATCACGCTCATAGACCTGCTCTGGACTTGAAGACGTCAGGAACAGTCCACAGCTGGATCATGGAGGGGGTGAGTATAAAGCTTTCTGCTTGTCCCTTGACAAAACAAGCAGTTGACCTATGCAGTGTGGGTACAGCCCCACTGAATGGAAAAAAACATTTGCCAAGAGTTCAGCTTTAAAATCTTTGAGGTGGACCCTTACACAACCAAAGAGCAGCAAGGCTGAGTGAGCATTATTATTGTTTGTGGAACAGTGTTTATTCAGGAATAGACTGGTGAACTTTAACCCATTATTTTGTACTCCCCATGAAATCTTTTTCTTGGAGTCCAATGAGCGACATAGAAGAAGTCTTCAACCTTTGGAGTATACTGCTGCCTACAGGAGGATTGGAAACTAGCAAAGAGAAAATGTAGGTCAGCCCACAGTATAACCCTTCCTAGTACCAGAATGCCAAAGTAGTGCAATGAGCATGATCATAAATACGGAAGAGGGGGTGCCGGTGTGCCTCGATGAATTCCAAAAATAGGATTTTTTCTCTCTTGTCTACTAGGGGACACAAAAAGTCCTAAACCTTCAGAAGGCCTAAAAGCAATCCAGCCAATGAGACTAATGGGCTCAAGATACGCTAAAGAAAACTGGGAACTGCCAGCAGCTTAAAGAGCTGCCTGAAGGACCTTACACCCGAAGTTGGCATCAGATGAGGCAGAAACGTCCACCTAAAAAGAAAAAATTAGAAAACCAAGTTAACAGAAGACCAGCTGGCAGTCCTGCATATCTGATAAACAGTTGCCTGATGCCAAAGATCCCAAGAGGTGCTCAAAGATCTAGTAGAGTAACCCAATCTTTGAGATTCAAACGATGGTCTGACTGAGTCACCTAGAGATGGTGGAATGAGAAGCCAGGGAACCAGATTTTCTAAAAGAAGCAGTGGCTGAGACTAGTCTAGACAATTGAGACATATCTAGACAATGGAGGGAAGTATCCTTTTGATGAATCGAAAGCAGATAAAAGGACAGGTTAGGGTGAAAAGTACAGACTACCTAAGAGAAAAAGAGTCCTGAGCCATAACACTACTTTGCTCCATGCGACACCAAAATGGGTTCTTTGCAAGACAAAGTCACCAGTTAAGACACTTGCCTTGCACAATGCGATAGCTACAGGAAAGCAACCTTATGGGAGAGAGTTGAAAGAGGAATGCCTCTAATTAATTCAAACAGCTGCTTCTGTATTGCAGAGAGAACCAGATTCAGTTCCCCCACAGTATCATAGGGAACAGACCATGGAGGGGGCCAGTGACATGGGAGAACACCTGCAAAATAAGATCTTAGAACGAGTGGAAGGCCAAGCGTCTCTGAAACAAAAAAAAAAAATAATAATACGCTCCATGTTGTTTCTCAATAAATATAAACAATGTATCTAAGCTGCTGTATGAATATCTATAAGTGAACCATGAGTAGCAGTCTATCATATGACAAAACACGTTGGATTGGGTGAGGTGGTGTGATGTCATCACGCAAGCCAAGCACACATGAACATAAGTGGATTGTAGTGCGAACATGTGCTTTTTACTGATTGCTTGTAGATCCTTAGTGGTGTGAGAACACCTGTTTGTAAGCCTCTTAAGTGTTTTAAATAAAAAGTTTGACATTATGCAAAGCTTCATTTGTTTTCTCATGCGAGTTGCTAAGATCCTGCATTTGGAAAGGACATGGAACTAGTAAAGAACATGAAGTGTCTGGAGGAGCAAAGAGGTCATTACAAGCTGGTGAGTAAATGGTTCAAACCATGATGAAATCAAAAACAGAATATGGGGGTTATAGTGCCTGTGGTCAGAGTTAACAGATATGCTGGGTAATCTGGGTCATAACATCCTCCATGGTTGTAGTACAAACCTCAGTCGAGAGGGCAGGGGACCCAGCTACACCCAACCCAACACAACTCTAGTCTGCAGACGGTGGCACTGCATTGCAAGCAACCTACAACACATGTGAGCTGGGGCAGTGGGTGACTGTCCCTTCAGGTCTAGATTTAGATATGTTACAGTAGAAAAGCAGTTAGGCAATGTCCAGGCTCGTGGTAAGAGGTTAGGCCTCAAACCCCTACAAAACCCAGACAGCTGGTATTAAGTGAGAGTCGGTGACCAAGGTTTAGATGGCAGAAGTGTTCAGAATCATTGTAGGCAGCAGATAAAAGTTCCATGTAGCTCTTTGCAACAGAAGCAGCAGCAGGGAGATACTTCCTCATTGCAGTATGGCAAAAAAAAAAAAGAAAAAGAAGAAAGAAGAAAAAGAAGTAAGAAAAAAGAAGTAAGAAGAAAAAGAAGAAGAAGAAAGAGAAGAAGAAGAAAGAGAAGAAGAAAGAAGAAAGCAGAAAAAGAAGAAAGCAAAAAAGAAGAAAGAAGGAAGGAAGAAGTGCAGGTCACTCATCTGCAACACTCCACCCAGCGGAGGACATCAGAGTTCAGGCCCACAGCAATAACTCCACATGGCAAAGCTGGATGAAAACAAGGCATAATGGCACCCAGCAATCAATGAAAAGAAGATCTACTGATGTAAGTGAGTGGAAAGCACACTGCTGTGAACCTAAGCAAAACCTAAGTCTGGAAACCCAGAGTCCAAAGGTCACTTCCAGGCTAGCCCCACAATATCAAGTCTAGCAGGGTCTGGATGTGGTATGGTCCAAAACCAGGCTAAGGACTACCACGCCTGGTTTTTGGACCGTACCACAAAAGATGACAGATGATTATAAAATTGCTAGAAAAACACAAGTTAGTATTTACAACACCACAGCTGAAGAAAAGACGTCAATTCTAGGACACTAGCAAAAACCAGGCATGCTGTAAGTAGGAGAGGTTGGCCTACAGTTTTGTTTGCCGGGGTCCAATCCTCCTGTAGGTAGCTGTATAACCTGAAAGTTTAGGACTTCCTGTGTCCCTCAACAAATTAGAAAGTAAGTAGCATTAATAATTGTTTTCTTTCATAACATACTCCTCCTGGCCACCTCACCTATATGGGGTGTCATACTCACCTTGTTGATATCAGCATCATAAAAAAAGTTTGCCCAATTTGGATCAGTCTGCATGAAGTGGAACTGAAATAACTCCCGCAGGCAAAGGTGTAGGATGTTGTATGAAATCTAAATGAATAAAAATATGCACCGAACAATTACAAAACTTAAAAAAAAAAATTGCCAATCACTAGTATAGAGAAATACACATCAAAACCCATAAGAACCTGGCATACAGTATATGCTTGTGACAAGAATAAAATACTATGGGTCATTCCAAGAACTTTCTATGGGAAGATCGATGAATTGTTTGCCTTACCTCATTACGAGTTTCTTGGTCCATCGCGGCACATTGGTCCAGTGGCACCCCAGACACCAGTTCAACGGTCAACACCCTCTTAGAGGAAAGCTCATCTATGACCCGAGGAACTTTAAAGAAGGGATCATTGCTCAAGAGCTCCCTGTACAGCAAAGATTATTATAATTTAAACTGAATTAAAAAAAAAAGGACAGACAATCAACAGCTCAGGACAGCAAATAAACCAACAACATAAACATGTCACTTTGTGGGACCAAAACTGCTACTGGTGTGCAGTATTCGCATGGACTACAATTATCATCAGTATTGGGATGTTGGCTCTAATCAACATAAAACGGAAGCAAAATCTCTGGACTTTAAAGGGGGAATCTGTCATGATCAAACTCTGGGAGTTATTGTGCTGACACTGTCATCCTCATCCTTTTCTTCACTATGTGATGAGACACTCTCCTGGAACAAGCACTCAGCCAGCCAGGACACCCAACTGCACATATTTGTTCCAGCTCAGTGATTCACGCGATCATGAAGCCAAGGATGGCTCGTCATCTCAAATACTATCCTGAGATCCTAATAAAGTACACCTGTCAATAACAGAAGTATCCTATTGTTGCTATTGCCTGCTGACCTCTGAAGATACTAGCTGCTTGGTTGTCTTTTGCAATACCTCTACAGATGTGCAACAAGAATGCAGCAACTCTTGCAAGGTCAATGATGCAGAAAATATTTAACCACTTGCCTACCGGGAACTTATACCCCCTTCTTTACCAGGCCAATTTTCAGCTTTCAGCGCTGTTGCACTTTGAATGACAATTGCGCGGTCATGCAAGATTGTACCCATATGAAATTTTTATCATTTTTTTCTCACATATAGAGCTTTGTTTTGGTGGTATTTACTCACCGCTGGGCACTTTACTTTTTGCGCTATAAACAAAAACAGTGCAAAAAATTTGAAAAAAAAAAAAAGTTTCTTTGTTTCTATTATAACATTTTGCAAACAGGTAATTTTTCTCCTTCACTGATATGCGTTGATGAGGCAGCACTGATGGGCACTGAGAGGCAGCACTGATGGGCACTGATAGGCGGCACTGATAGGCAGCACTAATGAGGCGTCAAGGATAGGCGGCACTGATAGTTGGCACTGATAGGCGGCACTGATGATGGGTACTGATAGACAGCACTGATAGGTGGCACTGATGATGGGCACTGATAGACAGCACTGATAGGTGGCACTGATTGGCATCACTACTGGGCACTGACTGGTGGGTCTGCTAGGCATTGACTGGCGCAAGTGCTGGGCACTGATTGGCACAACTGCTGGGCACTGACTGGCAGCACTGCTGGGCTGCACTGATGAGTGGCACAGGTGGGTGGCACTGCTGGGCACAGGTAGGTGGCACTTCTGAGCACAGGTGTGTGGCACTGGTGGGCACCGATCATCAGTGCCCTGATGATCGCTGCCGATCCCTGCTCTGACAACTGCCAGTTTTCGGTAGTACTTTCTTCACGCTCTGACAGCGCAAGGAAAGTGCAGCCGAGAAACGGCAATTGCATTTCCCGGTGATCAGCGTGTCATTGGACACGGCTGATCACGTGGTAAAAGGCCGCTGTGATTGGCCTTTTACCACATCACGTGATCAGCTGTGTCCGCAGGACACAGCGATCACGGAGATTGCCGGGGGCACGCAGGAGAGCGCTTTCTGGGAGTACATCATAGGATGCCCTCCCAGAACTGGCCGGCCGCAGTGTAGCCGTCATTCGGCTATCTGCGGTTGGCAAGTAGTTAATCAAAAACAATTAACATGGGAAAACAGCAACTATCTTTCTGAGGAGCTATAACAGTATGCATATTTGTCTGGGAACAAGTTTCCTTGAAATTAAATTTAGATGGATTTCAGTTAACGGGAATATGTATGCATGAAAGAAAAGCCTTCATTCTGAGGCATGGCCACCTCTAGGAAGGAGAATCAAGTTGAGGGAAGGCTCTGTGTGAGGCCGAAGTACTGACTGCCTGCTCAATAATGGTCACAACAAAGAATCAAAATGATAAAAGGAAGCACTGGAAGTCCTAAGCCAACTAGAATCCTTTATCCAAAAAGCATTAGAGGTCCTAAGCCAACGGGAATCCATTCCAGTGAATAGGTATTTCAGTGCTTTAAAAGGATACGTTCACCTTTGGGAACATGTTAAAAGTTCCCATAGCTGCAGCTGCGCCCGCCGCCCCCCCCCCCTCTGACAGATGGTATGGCGACAAAGTTTCCCCGTACTGTTAGATTTGAAAACAGTGTGGTCGCGCAGGGCTCCGCCCACACGGCCGTGCCACTCGTTCCCAGAGTTCTGTGAATGAATGCCTACAAGTCCCGGCTGACTTAGTGGCTGTCGACTTGTAGTTTACAATGAACTACCATGGAGCATCATAGTAGTTCATTGAAACTTCCTGTCAGATTATCTGCTTGCTCATACAGTGGGGATCGAAAGTTCGGCACCCCAGCTAAAAATTTGTATTAATGTGCATAAAGAAGCCAAGGAAAGATGGAAAAATCTCCAAAAGGCATCAAATTACAGATTAGACATTCTTATAATATGTCAACAAAAGTTAGATTTTATTTCCATCATTTACACTTTCAAAATAACAGAAAACAAAAAAAATGGCGTCTGCAAAAGTTTGGGCACCCTGCAGAGTTAATATCTTGTACTGCCCCCTTTGGCAAGTATCACAGCTTGTAAACGCTTTTTGTAGCCAGCCAAGAGTCTTTCAAATCTTGTTTGAGGTATCTTTGCCCATTCTTCCTTACAAAAGTCTTCCAGTCCTTTGAGATCTCTGGGCTGTCTGTCACGCACTGCTCTTTTAAAGGTCTATCCATAGATTTTCAATTATGTTGAGGTCAGGAGATTGTGAAGGCCATGGCAAAACCTTCAGTTTACGCCTCTTGATGTAATCCCCCGTGGATTTCGAGGTGTGTTTAGGATCATTATCCATTTGTAGAAGCCATCCTCTCTTTAACTTCAGCTTTTTCACAGATGGCATCAAGTTACCATCCAAAATTTGCTGAAATTTTATTGAATCCATTTTTCTTTCTACTCGTGAGATGTTCCCTGTGCCACTGGCTGCAACACAACCCCAAAGCATGATTGATTCAACCCCATGCTTAACAGTTGGACAGAGGTTCTTTTCATTAAATTCTGTGCCCCTTCTTCTCCAAACGTACCTTTGCTCATTCCGGCCAAAAAGTTCAATATTAACCTCATCTGTCCACAGAACTTGTTTCCAAAATGCATCAGGCTTGTCTATATGTTCATTTGCAAAGTTCAAACGATGATTTTTGTGGTGAGGATGTAGAAGAGGTTTTCTGCTGATGACTCTTCCATGAGGACCATATTTGTACAAGTATCTCTTTATAGTGGAATAGTGTACCACAACTCCAGTGTCTGCCAGATCTTTCTGGAGGGATCGTGCAGTCAAACGTGGGTTTTGAATTGTTTTTCTCACAATCCTGTGAGCTGTTCTGTCTGATATTTTTCTTGGTCTTCCAGATCTTGCTTTAACTTCCACTGTTCCTGATGACTGCCATTTCTTAATTACATTCCGAACAGAGGATATTGACATCTGAAAACGCTTTGCTATCTTCTTATAGCCTTCTCCAGCTTTGTGAGCGTCAACTATTTTCAGTTTCAGTTTTCTAGACAACTGCTTAGAAGAACCCATGGTGCTGATTGTTGGGGCAAGGTCAGATGAGTCTGGGCATTTAAAACCTTTGAGATTGACATCACCTGGTCCTCCCAGACAATGATTGAGAACAATCCATGACACTGGCAGGTCTCCGCTTGGCAAAGGGGGCAGTGCATGCTATAAATTCTGCAGGGTGCCCAAACTTTTGCAGACGCCATTTGTTTATTTTCTGTTATTTTGAAAGTGTAAATGATGGAAATAAAATCTAACTTTTGTTGACATATTATAAGAATGTCTAATCTGTAATTTGATGCCTTTTGGAGATTTTTCCATCTTTCCTTGGCTTCTTTATGCACATTACAAATTTTTAGCTGGGGTGCCCAAACTTTTGATCCCCACTGTACAGCAAGCAGATATTCTGACAGGTCTGCAGGAGACCTGCATGGCATCAACGATCCACTGATCACTGGTGCAATGCTTTCCAGGCTCCTGCAGACAAAAATAATACATTTTACCTGTGAAAAAAATGTGCATTTATTATTTTTGACAAAAATACTACATTTTACCTGCGAAAAAATGTGCATTTATTATTTTTGTCAAAAAGATGAACTTGTTATTTAACTGGTCTTTATTTAATGGAAGCAGCAAGGGTGTCCATCCTTTATTGCCAGACTTTTTATGGTTTTCAATATTTGAGCATTTGTAAGCCCTCTATGGATTTCTGAGCCATATTTTTTTCAGATATTTTTCTGCTTAGAATATTTAAATGACTCCATACAACATTAATATTTGAATCTTATTACACAGATAGCTGTGAACAGGTCATTAAGTGTTTTTGCACGGCAAGACCACTTACTGTTATCTCACATATACCGTATTTGCCGGCGTATAAGACGACTTTTTGACCCTTGAAAATCTTCTCAAAAGTCGGGGGTCGTCTTATACGCCGGTACACATGTTAGGGGGGCTGCGGCATTAAGTACAGGGGTTTGCAGGGGCTGATGTCTCTTACCTGGATCCAGTCCCACGACGATCCGGTCCAGGAAGCGCGGCGTCTCCTTCAGTTCGGCCACTGGATGTTTGTGCGGCTGCTCGGCTCCGCCTCCTCACCGGTGATTGGCCGCCAGAACTGTAGCTCAGGAAAGGCACACAGGCGGCCAATCACTCGCGAGGGGGCGGAGCCGAGCGGCCCCGCGAAAATTGAGTGCCGGAGCAGCAGGTAAGTGTTCTGTGTAGAGGTGCTGCTGCAACCACATATGCTGGCTGCAGCAGCACCATACGAGAACAGGGTCAGCAAGTCTCAGTGGGAGGAATAGTGCCCCATCATTGGTGTCACTGATACCAATGATGGGGCACTATTCCTCCCACTGATACCAACGATGGGGCACTATTCCTCCCACTGACACCAACGATGGGGCACTATTCCTCCCCCCCACTGACACCAACGATGGGGCACTATTCCACCCCCCTCACTGACACCAATGATGGGACACCATTCCTCCCACTGACACCAATGATGGGGCACTATTCCTGCCACTGATACCAATGATGGGACACCATTCCTCCCACTGACACCAATGATGGGGCACTATTCCTGCCACTGATACCAATGATGGGGCACTATTCCTGCCACTGATACCAATGATGGGGCACCATTCCTGCCACTGATACCAATGATGGGGCACTATTCCTCCCACTGACACCAATGATGGGGCACTATTCCTCCCACTGACATCAATGATGGGGCACTATTCCTCCCACTGGTGTGCATTGGAAGAGGGGTAGTCTTATACGGCGAGTATAGCCCAAACACTACATTTTAGCAGGAAAAGTAGGGGGGTCGTCTTATACGCCCAGTCGTCTTATACGCCGGCAAATACGGTATATTCTTATTATTATAGCCAAATTTACCCCCCTAACTCCTCCCACAGTTTTTACACTACATAGACAGTAATATACCGAAACGTGTGGATTGTTCCCGATTGGTGTGCTATTACTTTGTGGAACGTTTCGCCGAATGGTTCACGAAATATCGGCGTTTTTGTGGTGAAATTGGTCCCATAGGAATGAATGGCGGAATGTTCAAAACTAGAGTGGGAGCTGACAAAAGCTAGAGTGTGAGCTGAAAAATCAGGACATGATTTGTAAAACTGCCATCGCTCCCTCATTTTCAAGCCCACCTACACAAATCTTATATCAAAACGTTCAGCTATCCCTGCTGCCACTAAAAATGTCCACGGCTAAGCCATAATCCTGATAGTTTTCAAAATATGACCATTTGTTTGCAACTCACCCATTGACATTTATTGAAACTCCACTCTAGCCACCTCAAATTTGAAGGGTATTTCTAAACTGCGACTGTGCCTTCATTTTTAATATTTCAGAGACATACTATGCATCAAAATGTAGGTCTGGGTCTTGTGATTCTCACAATATAAAGCTCTTCACTGTAGGATCTATAATTTTAACAACCACGACCATTTGAAGATAACAGTGAAGTGGGCAATGTGGAGCAGTTACTCCGCCCACTCCAGTTGTAGACCACTGGTGGAGGCAAGAACAATTCACACAATTTCCCCAGAAATTGTAGCTTTTCTAGTTTATATTTGATGTTTCAGTAGTAGCTTACAGTTTGATGAGTAAACATTCAGGTTCTAGAGCAGTCATCCTGATTAGAAATGCAGGCTTTGGAGTGGTCATCATTATCCTGGCTTTACTACCTACTTAGACATTGGCCAGGGACAAGCAAGCAACTTGTGAATTTCTAAAACTCCCATCCTGCATTTATTGAGCCATTCAAATTATCACTTGCCATTACATATTATAAGCATTATTTAAAGGTCAGATACTGATTTGTGATCATTCATGTATCAGGCAATGTGATGAACATTCCTGCTTAAAATGAAGCTATGGGCAAAATTAAAAAGGACATAGGATGCAATCTGTCACTAGCGTTAGCAATGTCAGTTTTCTGTAATATAGTCAAACAAATGAATGCACAATTAAACCCTCCTACCATTTATAGCCAAGGAAGCTGCCAGCTTAGCCTGAGATCTGCAGTTACCATGGGGCTAGTGGGCAGCTGAAACTATTATCAAGGTCTGGCTACCAGGTAAGATGTGGACCTAGGAATAGAGACTTCAGGTCACCCAAAGCTCTACAAAGCCTCGGGGCTGCAGCACCTTAAAAACAGAACTTATTAAGATTCTGAAAAACAAAACGTTTGTCTTCTTAACATCAGCTATACAACTTGAAGTCCTTCACCAGGTGTATGTCAGAAACCTAGAGGATACATATACACGGTCTATAATCCTGCCAGCCAATGCCTCACAATTGTCTACGTTATATTAGTTTTTCTTTTTTATTTGCTACTTCTGTTTCCCCATGAAAGTGGAGTAACCCTTTAACTACTAAGATTCTAGTTTTCATTCTAACACCCCTTGCATAAACAGCAAACAAACAATTAGACATATATAAATAGAAAAGCTACAGGGAGCGCTCCAAAATGTCAGCAGCTGAACATTCAAGGAAAACACATAAGAAGTCCCAAGATAAATGTACAAATATAAAATGCAGCGCTGTGTGATGTTGCCCTAAATGTGAGCAACACTAGTGATATAGAAATAAAACCAAACATAAAATTATAAAATTTAAATCATAAATGAAATGCAGTCCTGTAATAGTGCTCGCTGTTTTCCAGTGCAAATGGTAGAAATGCGCACTAACCAGAAGCGTATTGGTAATACGCATGTGTATAAAATATCCTGAAGATTCCCCTCTCTTTCTGGTCAGAAAATGGATAGGAGCTGGAAAGTGTGGAGATGAAGCGCCCTCGTGTGGTGAAGATGAAGTCCCACAGGCCCGAGATATCCTTGCAGAGATGTGTGGAGTAGGTAATTCCCCCTCTCTGAAGCTGGTACAAGGGTCACTCTGAGGCTGCAAAAGTTGAAAGGCTCCTCACTTCACACTCAGCCCTCAATGCTCCCAGCCCCGTCTCTCAAAGGGAGGAGACCCTTGTACCAGCTTCAGAGAGGGGGAATTACCTACTCCACACATCTCTGCAAGGATATCTCGAGCCTGTGGGACTTCATCTTCACCACACGAGGGCGCTTCATCTCCACACTTTCCAGCTCCTATCCATTTTTTGACCAGAGAGAGGAATCTTCAGGATATTTTATACACATGCGTATTACCAATATGCTTCTGGTTAGTGCGCATTTCTACCATTTGCACTGGAAAACAGCGAGCACTATTACAGGACTGCATTTCATTTATGATTTAAATTTTATAATTTTATGTTTGGTTTTATTTCTATATCACTAGTGTTGCTCACATTTAGGGCAACATCACACAGCGCCGCATTTTATATTTGTACATAAACAATTAGACGTACCTGAACTTTTTGCCGCACTCAGCTTCCCGCAGGTAGTCACATTCCCAGGACAGCTCTTTCTGCAGGACCTGAACACTGTTCTCAGGAAACAAACCTGGGCATAGATCAGACAGATATTACTTGACTGCTAGCCATTATGTGATAAAACAAGCTAGAATGGCTCTAAATGTTTGCAACCTAAATGGAAAATCAGCAATCAATGAAATGCAGCTCCCGACATCAGCAGCACTCATGCAGCCCCACAGAAGGATACTGCCCCCACCATGTTTCACTGTAGGCTCTATGCATTTTTCTTTGTACTCCTCACCTTTGCGACGTTATACAGTTTTGAACCAGCAGTTCTAAAAACATTTATCTTGGTATGATCACTCCAGAGTACAGAGTCCCAGTAGTTGTCTTTTTCAGCATTGGCCCTGGCAAATTCTAAGTGGGCTTTTTTGTGCATGGGCTTTAGGATATGCTTCCTTCATGGATGACACCCATGCATGCCATTCCTCCACAGTGTACGCCGTATTGTGTCACAGGAATCAATCACCCCAGTTTGACTTTCTACTTCTTCAGCCAACTGCACTGAACTTGCATGGCAATTTACTTCAACTCTTCTCATCAGAAGATGCTCCTGTTGAGGTGATAACTTTCATGGATGGCCTGGAGGTCTCTGTGAGATGGTTGCACTTCCAACTTTGTTAACATTTTTGTATCACTTTTCCTACAGTATTCTGACTGATAAGTAAAGCTTTGTTGATCTCCTTGCAGACTTCACCTTTCTGTGTAAAGAAATTATTTTCTTTTTCAGGCCTTGTGACATTTTCTCTTCCATGTGGTGCCATTGCTGACAGCATGAAATGGGAAGAGATTTTCTTTGTTAAGTAATGCCCTTTTATAATCATCTGTCTGCTGGACACCTGTTTAATGAATAATTAGACTCACCTGTAATTGAATTCTTGTTAATTAGGATTTTTGTTGTCTAAAATTTAACATTGCTCCTAAAACTTTCATTGGGGTGTATTCATTTTTGCAACATGGTCTTGAATGAATTTGTTAGGAAAAATACTTTGTGTATGCAAATTAACCACTTGACCTCCAGAGGATTTACCCCCCTTAATGACCAGGCCTCTTTTTGCTACTCGGCGCTGCACTAATTCAACTGATAATTGCGCAGTCATGCAATGCTGCACCCAAATGAAATTTACGTCCTTTTTTTTCACACAAATAGAGCTTTCTTTTGGTGGTATTTGATCATCTGTGCGCTTTTTATTTTTCACGCTATAAACAAAAAAAGGCCAAAAATTTTGAAGAAAAACAATATTTTTTACTTTCAGCTATAAAAAATATATAGTAAACTCAAAGTTGGTTATAAATTTACGCCAAAATGTATTCTGCTACATGTTTTTGGTAAAAAAAAAATCCCAATAAGTGTATATTGATTGCTTTTTGTGAACGCTATAGCATCTACAAATTATGGTATAGATACTGCAATTTACGCCATTTTTTTGCTATACAGCGCTGCGCTAGTTTATCGGACAATTGCGCGGTCATGCAATACGGTACATAAATGAAATTTACATCCTTTTTTTCCCCACAAATTGAGCTTTCTTTCGGTGGTATTTGATCGCCTGTGCGGTTTTTATTTTTTTTTGCACTATAAAAAAAAAAGGCTGACAATTTTGAGGAAAAAAAAAACAATATTTTGGACTTTTTGCTATAAAACATGTCCAGTAAAAAAAATTTAAAAATCAAATTCAGTCATAAATTTCTGCCAAAATGCATTCTGCGACATGTCTTTGGTAAAAAAAAAACCCCAATACATGTAAATTAATTGGTTTACGTGAAAGTTATAGCGTTTACAAATGGCGGGAAAGATACTGGGATTTTTAGATTTTTTTTTATACTAATAATGGCGGCGATGGCGGTGATCAGGCGATCAGGGACTTATGGCGGCGACTTATGGCGGCGATCAGCGACTTATGGCGGGACTGCGGCGGACATTCTGACATTGGAGGGTACTGACTTGGGGTCACTGACATCCCCAGTGACACCAATACAGTGATCAGTGCAAAAAAAAAAAACACTGACACTGTACTAATGGCACTGAAGAGGAAGGGGTTAACTTTATTTTTCAGGGAAGGGTTATCTGTGTGAGGGGAGTGTTTTACTAGGGGGCGGGGGGGTGTGCTGCAGGGAACACTGCTGATCCGGAGAGAGAAACTCTTCTGTCCCGGTCAGCGTGTTCTCAAGCTGTCAGGGAAGTGACAGAAAGCACAGCTACTGCAGCTGTGCTCTCTGTCACCGATTGCCGCCGATCGCCGGGAGATAGCCGGTAAGGACCGGCTGTGACCCGGCAACTGACATCCGCGGCTGTGATTGGCGGGACAGGTAGGGCGGCGGTGCGCCTCCCGCGCGCCCCCTGTTTTACAAAACACACGTTTTAAAACGTGGTTTTGCCTGCCCGTGCCGCCCTGCCAACGTATTTCTACAGTGGCAGGGCGGCAAGTGGTTAACAAACCTTGTTTGCAATCAACTGCCTGCATTTGTGGGGGTATTTTGTGGCAGCTTCTATGTTCAGCTTGTTCAGTAAAGCTTTCAAAATAAATAACAGAAGCCGACTGGCTTATGAGCACAGCAGCTACTGATTCTGGCTGCTCCAGTCTCGGTAAATTCCCCCCATAGATACTCAATATCATTTCTGTAACAGTTTGCTTTTCTAGGTAAAATGATTTTGCTGTAGTAGGGGTACTATGCAACAGAGTGACAGCCGTAGAAGACATAGGATATGATATTTACTCAATACCAGCAATTTATTTTACAAAATCTTGAATGTTGTGTTTCCATTGATAAATGTTATTTAGTTGTGTACTGCCTTTACACTGCAACTCTTACCGTCAGGCAGAACGAGGCTCATCTTGAGGAGCGACAGCAGATTGTCCACATCACTCTTGATACTCTGAGCAATTCCAGGATACTGAATGGGGAAACAATGGGAAATAGAACATGAGCTGTGCGCTTAAAAGAGATATAGTAGTACAAAGAACTGCATTCACACGTGTGTACTCTAAGGCAGGCCATACATTATGCAATTTTCTTTCCTTCAAAAAATTGCTTGATTCCCCAATCAGCACTGATTGTAGTCCCTCCCACAGCGCTATTGTGTTCTGCTGGCGGGGAGTGCAGGGGACTGGCAGAATTTAATGAGCACTGTTGGCGAATAAAGCCACTAGCTGTGATCGAGTGAAATACAATCAGACAGGCTGATTCCACTGAAGTCACTCAATAGAAATTTGGCCGATTCCTGCCAAACCAGATGAATTTTGATCCATCTATCAATGGCTTAACAAGCACATGGAAGAATATGTACAATGGATTTAATGTGTGAGATTAAAGCAGAGCTGTGTAAACATAAAAAACACCCATTAGTTCAGTTTCACACACACTTGAAAAAAATTAAATAAAAAACAAACATACTACAAGATCCGGCTAGGATAACCACTTCTCATATGTCTTCATATTATCTCACCAAAAAGATACTGCAGAAATGATCCTGGTAGCCGAAGGTGGCAGCAATCAGGTTCTACTGACTTACAGAGTGAACCAAAGTCAGATCATAGACAGGGCAACCTAGGCAGGAGCCATGGGCCCAGCATATGTCCAAGACAGCTACAACCTTCATGCTCCGGAGTTAAATCACGTGAAGAGCACAGTTGGTGAAAGCTGCTGAGTACATGCCTGTCACGTCAGAAGGAAGGATTTATTTGTAGGAAGTCGATGTCTGATGGGGTAGACTATGCCAGTACGGACAATGCAAATGAGACATTTTCTCCGTACATTTTGCACTAGTTATCAAGATCAACTGAAGGATGAGGGGGGGTGAAATGTTGCTACTGTGTCTACGACCCCATTCTGCCTTAATCTATCTCCGTAAACTCACCTGAATTTTCATAGCCACTTCACTCCCATCCAACAGCCTTGCGAGGTGCACTTGTCCAATAGAGGCTGCTGCAAAGGGTCGCTCCTCAAAATATGCCAGTTTGTCTCTCCAGCCAGGTCCCAGTTCTTCCTCTAGGACTTTCTGTGGAAACAATGGAACACCTAAGACCCCATTATCCCTCTGGACAATATTACCTTAAAATGAACAGTGAACTTGGAATTAGGGCCACACTCACCGCCATCTGCCAGGCTGGCATATAATCGGCACTCTGTCTAACCCTCTCAAATATTTTCTGCAGCTGTGGACTAATGAAGCTATTATCTACGGAACAAAACAGAAACAAAAAATTATAAACATTTTATAGATCCAAATAGTCAAGAAGCACCGGGAGATATTAAAAAAAGAACAGAACGGAATGAATGAAACAGAAGCAGGGAGATCCTTGCACTGCAGGTCCTCATGTGCAGGTTTTAATCAAGGAGAACAGTGAGAGCCACAATGGTGACATAATCAAACCTTGTGAGACTAGCAGTCAGAAGCAGTAGTGCCTTTGATGATCTTGCACTTTAGATATAGGGCCATGAGCAGGGGCGAACTGACTATTTGGAAACTCAGGCACTGCTCGAGGGCTCGGGGTCAGTAGGGGGCCCCATGAGATGCCCCTGGTACCTTTTTCATGGGCTTTTTTGAGTTCGGGCAAGGACACAGGGGCCCCATGATCCCCTATTGCCCGGGGGCCCCATGAGTTGTCAGTCCGCCCCGATTGCAGGTATGAATATTTTAATCATAGTTATTGTCAGAGTTGTCATAGAGTTGTCAGTCCTCCCGTGGCTATGAGGAAACTCAGGCACTGCTCGAGGGCTCGGGGTCAGTAGGGGGCCCCATGAGATGCCCCTGGTACCTTTTTCATAGGTTTTGAGTTCGGGCAAGGACACGGGCCCCATGATCCCCTATTGCCCAGGGGGCCCCATGAGTTGTCAGTCCTCCCCTGGCTATGAGGAAACTCAGGCACTGCTCGAGGGCTCGGGTCAGTAGGGGGCCCCATGAGATGCCCCTGGTACCTTTTTCATAGGTTTTGAGTTCGGGCAAGGACACGGGCCCCATGATCCCCTATTGCCCAGGGGCCCCATGAGTTGTCAGTCCTCCCCTGGCTATGAGGAAACTCAGGCACTGCTCGAGGGCTCGGGTCAGTAGGGGGCCCCATGAGATGCCCCTGGTACCTTTTTCATAGGCTTTTTTGAGTTCGGGCAAGGACACAGGGGCCCCATGATCCCCTATTGCCCAGGGGCCCCATGAGTTGTCAGTCCTCCTCTGGCTATGAGGCTCAAGGCACAGAAAATGAACCATTATGTTTCAGGAGGAATTCTAGGTACTGCTTGGGCACAATTAAGATTTCTAAATGTTACCTAATAGGTATCAAATCTTAAGTATGTGAGTTCAGGTTCACTTTAAAGAACACTCGTCATCTAAAATGAGGGGCATTCAGTTTGTGTGGTAGCCCAGTACACAGACAACTTGCTACTTGGGCTACCTATAACAGTTATGATCTGGTTCACATAACATTATCAAAGGGTAATTCAACTTTCATGGAAAAATCTAACAAAAAAAAAAGTAATTATAAATTTCTAAAAAAATGACCTTTTGCTTTTTAATCTGCAGCCGCTGTAACTTTCTGTATAATGCAATGCAATGTGGCATCTTGGAGGAGTTCTGTACATGAAATGTCATTCCCTGCTTGTGTGATTGGCTAATTGATTTTCTGAGAAGTCTGTACTAAGATACAAGTCAAATTCTACACACTTCCTGTAAAAGGAATTCCAGTTTTGGTGAGATACTCTGTAGGAGTTAGATACTTCTAAAGGGATGCAGACACTGCAGCTTTCCTCACCAGAACTCAGAACTAGATCAGCTGACTAATAATAAATTAGTCGCTCTCATTAAGAATTAGTCTGGTGAAGCAAATTGCTATTTCTTCACAGCAGCTAAAGCTAGGAATCTGCTACAAAGTTTGGTGAAATTCCTACAATGTACATTGATCACGCAGAGGAGATCGCTTCTGTCCCAACAAAAGGGGAGTTACTGGCACTGTAATGGTTAACAACAGAGGCAGCTACTGAGGAAAGCTGAGCCACTTTCCCACCTCCTTCTTTCCGCTTTTCCATAACTATTGCTTGTAATACCACACTTCCACAATGCATCATGTTCTTGTGAATGGGCAGAGGAGAGCTGGAGGGCCACAGACTGAGCACCCAGCATAATTCAACTGCTCCTTTCCTAGTCGCAGAATGCAATGCATTGTGGGAGAGAGAAGTAATAAGACTTTTGTGAATGGTGGAGAAGGAAAAAGAGGCCAGGTGGTTGGAGCAACTTTTCTCAGTAGCAGTCATTGCTGTTACCCTTTACTGCTGTGAAGGAGAGATTGTAGGGATCATTTTTTAGCAGAAGCAACCACCTGCAGGTAACCCATCAATGCACAAACCTAGTGTGTTTGGTGATATATCCCATAAAACAAAAAACACACCAAACACACAATTGATACAGTGTACACACAACTAATAGATACAGCGTACACACACAACTAATAGATACAGCGTACACACAACTAATAGATACAGCATACACACAAACTAATAGATACAGCGTACACACACAACTAATAGATACAGCATACACACACAACTGATACAGCATACACACACAACTGATACAGTACACACACAACTAATAGATACAGCATACACACACAACTAATAGATACAGCACACACAATAGATACAGCATACACACACAACTAATAGATACAGCGTACACACACAATAGATACAGCACACACACAACTAATAGATACAGCGTACAGCACACACAATAGATACAGCGCACACACACAACTAATAGATACAGCGTACACACACTAATAGATACAGCGTACACACACAATAGATACAGCACACACACAACTAATAGATACAGCGTACACACACAACTAATAGATACAGCGTACACACAAATAGATACAGCGCACACACACAAACTAATAGATACAGCGTACACACACACTAATAGATACAGCGTACACACACAATAGATACAGCACACACACAACTAATAGATACAGCGTACACACAACTAATAGATACAGCGTACACACAACTACACACACAATAGATACAGCGCACACACAAACAACTAATAGATACAGATACAGCGTACACACACACAATAGATACACACACACAACAACTAATAGATACAGCGTACACACAAACTAATAGATACAGCTAATACACACACACACAATAGATACAGCGCACACACACAACTAATAGATACAGCGTACACACACAACTAATAGATACAGCGTACACACACACACACAAGTAATAGATACAGCGTACACACACACTAATAGATACAGCGTACACACAACTAATAGATACAGCGTACACACACAACTAATAGATACAGCATACACACAAATAATAGATACAGCGTACACACACAACTAATAGATACAGCGTACACACACAACTAATAGATACAGCGTACACACAACTAATAGATACAGCGTACACACAACTAATAGATACAGCGTACACACACAACTAATAGATACAGCACACAACTACACACACACAACTAATAGATACAGCGTACACACAAACTAATAGATACAGCATACACACAACTAATAGATACAGCGTACACACACAACTAATAGATACAGCATACACACAACTAATAGATACAGCGTACACACAACTAATAGATACAGCGTACACACAAACTAATAGATACAGCGTACACACAATAATAGATACAGCGTACACACAACTAATAGATACAGCGTACACACACACACTAATAGATACAGCGTACACACAACTAATAGATACAGCGTACACACAACTAATAGATACAGCGTACACACACAACTAATAGATACAGCATACACACACACACTAATAGATACAGCATACACACACAATAGATACTACACACACAACTAGATACAGCATACACACACAACTAATAGATACAGCATACACACAACTAATAGATACAGCGTACACACAACTAATAGATACAGCGTACACACAATAGATACAGCGTACACACACAACTAATAGATACAGCGTACACACAACTAATAGATACAGCGTACACACACAACTAATAGATACAGCATACACACACAACTAATAGATACAGCATACACACACAACTAATAGATACAGCGTACACACACAACTAATAGATACAGCATACACACACAACTAATAGATACAGCGTACACACAACTAATAGATACAGCGTACACACAACTAATAGATACAGCGTACACACAACTAATAGATACAGCGTACACACAACTAATAGATACAGCGTACACACACAATAAAAAAAGTGAATACTTGTGAGCCACTATGTCTCAGATGTTCAGTATAATATGTGCAATAGGTGGTAGTGAACTACCTGTTGTGTTAGGTGCGCTGGCACTTTCACAAACTCACTTAATTGTGTATATGTAAATTGATTAGACGTATTTATAATGCCGCGCTCCTACTATAAATACTTAATAATGTATTTTACATCACTCATAAACATCAATAAACTAAATAAATTAATAATAAATATAATAAAATTCAATAAATTAATTAATGTGATATAGTGAATGAAAAATCAAATCATAGATATGCTAAAAATTGTGCCATTAGTGCTCAAACAATATTATCAATGCCATATTCCAATTTCATGATTAAATAAAGAGTCTTTTATATCTTTGTGCAAAAGTGCATATAAAAATGAACAGTCTTATATATCTTTGTGCAAAATGTGCAATGTGCAGGTGAACTCCTTAATCCCTCTTTCCAGGTGCCGTGTAGTCTCAATATGCGCTCACCTTAATATTTGCCCAAATAAATTTAGGCAAATAGACTTGTAGTCCTTCTAGGACTGGTGGGATAGTGCTCCTTTATGCAGTATTCCAGATGGATGTGCAGACCTGCTCAGATCCTCCTCCTATAATCTCCTCTTAATTCATCCACGTGGCCACTCATAGATAGATTTTTGAAAGGGGTATCAGTATCTCCTATTTCCCCTCCTGGGGACACCTCCTTCTTATATCCACCTTTCCTCAATGTTGAGTATATAGATCAGATGGAGAAAAAAAGACCATGGTGTCTTATCCTTTTGAATAAGCGTATTTATTGCTACCAGATGCGGTGATACAAGCATATGAGGCACTTATCTTATGCAGATATGCAGAGCTGGTGATTCCCTCTGCCTCTCTGTCTGCCTCTGCTAGAGTCGCCGAGCCTCTCCGATGCAACGTTGTGACGTCAGAGCCCCTCCCCTACGCGTTGCGTCACAGGGTCACGTGACTTCATCAGGGGGAATTTGATTGGCCAATCAAAGTCCCCCTGATAAAGTCACGTGACCCTGTGACGCAACGCGTAGGGGAGGGGCTCTGACGTCACGACGTTGCATCGGAGAGGCTCGGCGACTCTAGCAGAGGCAGACAGAGAGGCAGAGGGAATCACCAGCTCTGCATATCTGCATAAGATAAGTGCCTCATATGCTTGTATCACCGCATCTGGTAGCAATAAATACGCTTATTCAAAAGGATAAGACACCATGGTCTTTTTTTCTCCATCTGATCTATATACTCAACATTGAGGAAAGGTGGATATAAGAAGGAGGTGTCCCCAGGAGGGGAAATAGGAGATACTGATACCCCTTTCAAAAATCTATCTATGAGTGGCCACGTGGATGAATTAAGAGGAGATTATAGGAGGAGGATCTGAGCAGGTCTGCACATCCATCTGGAATACTGCATAAAGGAGCACTATCCCACCAGTCCTAGAAGGACTACAAGTCTATTTGCCTAAATTTATTTGGGCAAATATTAAGGTGAGCGCATATTGAGACTACACGGCACCTGGAAAGAGGGATTAAGGAGTTAACCTGCACATTGCACATTTTGCACAAAGATATATAAGACTGTTCATTTTTGTATGCACTTTTGCACAAAGATATAAAAGACTCTTTATTTAATCATGAAATTGGAATATGGCATTGATAATATTGTTTGAGCACTAATGGCACAATTTAGCATATCTATGATTTGATTTTTCATTCACTATATCACATTAATTAATTTATTGATTTTTATTATATTTATTATTAATTTATTTAGTTTATTGATGTTTATGAGTGATATAAAATACATTATTAAGTATTTATAGTAGGAGCGCGGCATTATAAATACGTCTAATCAATGTACACACACAATAGATACAGCGTACACACACAACTAATAGATACAGCATACACACAACTAATAGATACAGCATACACACACGCTGAGTGGATATGGGACTAATGAGGACATGGTCTCAGTTGTGATTCCTACAGGTTGCGGTATGACATATGCTGAATACTTATGGCCCCAGTATACAAATTATTATTTTTTTAATTTTATTTATTTTTTAGTTATTTATTTCAGGTACTTGTATAGCGCCGTCAATTTACGCAGCACTTTACACATATATAATGTACATTCACATCAGTCCCTAACCCTCAAGGGGTGTACAATCTTAGGTCCCTAACTCACATTCATAAACACACATATTATTTTTATTACCTTGAATACTAAGCATCTGACCAATCTTCAGAGCAGCTCCCCGCACTTTACACAGCGTGTCCACAATTTTCTCTGCATTCCCCTCAGTCATAATTGAATGTGTCTCCAGAACGGTGTTGCCGGCTAAAGAGAAAAGACAAAATGGACATCAATATTATCTCAGGCTCGCTAAAGGTTTGTTCCTAACCTGTGAACCCACTTGACAGCACAGTGGCTTAGTGGTTAGCACCTTTGCCTGGTAACAGAGTCACTGGTTTGAGTCACAACCACTAAACTGTCTGCATGGAGTTTGCATGTTCTCCCTATGCCTGCATGTGTTTCCTCCTGGTACTCCGATTTCCTTCCACACTTCAAACACATCATGGTAGGTTCATTGGCTCCTGTCTAAATCGGCCCTGGTTTATGAATGCAAGTTAGGGACCTTAGATTGTAAAATCCTTGAGGGCAGGAACTGATGTGAATGAATATTATTTATACATGTAAAGCTCTGTGCAAATTGTTGGCGCTATAAGAACCTCAAATAAGATAAATAAATAAATAGCCTACTGGGTGAATAGCAGCTACAGCTATGAACTGGTCATAGCCATTTCTACAACAAGCTAATCTACTAGCGCTACCATTGTGGCAGGCAAAAAGAAGTAGTGTTGGCCTCAGACATGATCCCTTAAAATACATAACAGCCTTTACTGCTTTAAAAGAAGAAGTTCAACATTTAACAAAAAATAATAAAATGCAATTTTTGTGGCAGGTCAAAAAAAAAAAAAAAAAAAAAAAAGAAGTGCATTTATTATTTTTTGCTGCAAGAGCCTGGCGCCATGCAGGTCTCCTGCAGACCTGTCAGTATATCCGTTTGCCCGTACGTCCTGTATGGGCAAGCAGGTATACTGACAGGAAGAATCAATGGAGTTTACTCGACTACTGCAACTCCCTCCTCACTGGCCTGCCTCGCCGCTGGCTATCCCCGCTTCAGTCGATCCTGAATACGGCTGCCAGACTCATTCACCTTTCCAACCGCTCCATCTCCGCCACCCCCCTCTGCCAATCCCTCCACTGGCTTCCGATTGCGCAACGGATCAAATTCAAAATCCTAACACTGACGTACAAAGCTGTCCACCATACTGCCCCGAACTACATCACTGACCTAATATCCAAGTACCACCCAGCATGCACACTCCGCTCCTCACAAGACCTCCTTCTCTCTAGTTCCCTGGTCTCCTCCTCCCATGCCCGCCTCCAGGGACTTCTCCAGGGTGTCACCCATCCTCTGGAACTCCCTGCCCCAACCCATCAGATTATCACTTACTCTCCTCTCCTTTAGGCGCACCCTGAAAACCCATCTCTTCAGGGAAGCCTACCCTACCCCCTGCTAACTTGCCGACCTCCTCCACTCTTCCTACCACTCCATCCCCCACAGCTATCTCCTCCTGTGCCACCATCCCCTCCCTCCCAGATTGTAAGCTCCAAAGAGCAGGGCCCTCGATCCCCTCATGTTTTGCATTGTATTGGTATTGTTCTGTCATGTTCTGTCCCCCTTTGTAATGTACAGCGCTGAGCGAACTATTGGCGCTTTATAAATACTGTATAATAAATAATAATGAGCTACCACGGTGCTCCACAGCGCTGTGGTAGTTCATTGAGAAACACCAGCCGACAGCCGCTAAGGCTGTCAGGACTTGTAGTCCATGCATTCACATAATGAATGACGTGGCCGTGTGGGTGGAACCTCGCATGGAAGAATGTCACCAGCACACAGAGGATCACCAATATGAGTCCAAAAGTTTTAATGAACGATCACATAGTTACAGCAAAGCTGCACACAGCTATTTTTAACGTAGTAACGTGTGCGTTTGGATTGTATTTCATTCTGGAACCGATCATGGGCGTGCGGATTTCAAAAACTTACAGCACAGGGAACTTCTCCCCATACTGCTGTCACGGGGGAGGCAGAATCAGGCAGCGGCTGTTGGTACATGTTCTCAAAGGTGGATTTATCCTTTACGAACCAATGATACTTTTTCCTTCTGAGCATAAAGTACAGTGATTTGAATTACAAGACATCCTACATAACCCAAGGCAACAGAGAGGAGAATGACTTAAAAGTGAAATGCGGGATTTAAAAAAATAAACAAACATTCATACTCACCTAGGTGGATGCAGCATCGATCCAATGTCCCCCATCAGCTCTACACCAAGAACTGAGCAATCAAAGAACGCTGATCGCTCAGTTCTCACGTATGCTCTAAGCCCAGATTGGTGACTGTCAATGAACCAGCAAACTCAAATGCTCCTGAGCCAGCTCTGAGGAAGAGGCAAGTCCTCGAAACGCGTCAGACTTTTGGATGTCTATACTCCCTATTGTGGACTGTTACTCAGCGCGGTGTTGACCCAGCTGTTCTTTATGATGTGCCCTGACTATATTGTCGTTTGAGTACAACACATACTTTATTTTTTATTAAACATTTTTTATGGTAATGCACTAGGCCTGTGCGCCCTCTGTTTTTTCTTTCCTCATTTGGTGACTGTCAATATCCAGCTCTCTGCTCTGCCCCTCCAATGTTCACTGAAGCACCGGGAGCAGCTGGTTCAGTCTACCCGTGACATGCTGAGACAGCTGCTGGTCAGGCATCTGGGTGAATCCCAACATTGTTGTCGGGATCCCTAAAGAGCCTGTACTGGATCTGTGATGTCAGCTGACAGCAGACTTTAGCTCACCGTCGACTGAATCTGAGTCACAGTTGTGCAGAACCAAGCACATACCTGTGACCCAAAAGAGCTTTGGCCATACCTCTCCTTTAATGGGTGGTGGGGCATCTGCATCACTGGAGCGAAATGCCTGCATCACTAGAGTTCAACAACTGCATGCAATGCATGCTTGATTAATGTTTCCATGCAAAATGTGTAGTTCAAATTTTCTTGCAATCATTCACTACTGAATAGGTGGGAGATGTATTTCAATTTTTAGGGCAAAGCAATGGTCTCAATAAAGCCCACACCCTGAGCCACCTATACTCACCTTTGCCATACTCCCCAAATCCTTAGTTAGAGCCTCCGCAAAATACTCCGTGCTTCCAAGTTTGGGGGAACATGTGACCATCTCCAACAATGCAGTGCTAGGACCCGACTGGTCCAACGCTAGGTCCAACACATGAAACCAGTATACGCTTCTAACATGGAGGAGTGAGGCAGGAGGAGGAGCACAGGGAAGGAAAATATAAGTGTGCTTTGGGGCAGGCTTTCCAAGAAATGCAAAGTTCCCCCTAAATGACTGTTACTCTTGTAAAAAGCCAACATACACACTCACCTCCTGCCGCCTTCTCCCCTTTCAAAGACTGTTTTGCTACCTCAGTCAGAGCACCAATTCCAAGGCTGACAGCTAGGCCTGTGTGATGATGAAAAGACACACAAATTGAAATACCAGTCAAGATTAGAAGAACAAACACAATAAAAGCAATTTCCTCAAGAAAACAAGTTAAATTACCCCCAAAGCTTGCCATGCGGCTGAGACGAGATGCAGGTACCTTCCTCTCCCGAGCCCTCTCACTCAGCTGTCAATAAAAACAGTCATGATAAGGAGTATTTGTGGCTCCAAAATTCCATGCACATAAAATAATAAACATATCGGTATCGCCACAGCTATTACAATCATTTCAGGGTGTTGTGATCCTGGACTCTGACCAAAATGGATTCTGTTACATGTCTTTGGTAAAAAAACCCAAAAGGTTATATATTGATTGGTTTGCAAGAAAGTTATAGCATCTATAAACTATGGTATAGATACTGAAATTTGCATTTATTTTTTATACTAGTAATGGTGGCAATCAGCGACTCATACTGGGACTGCGATAATGCAGCGGGCAATGTGACACTAACGACGCTGGGGGGGGGGGGGGGGACGACTGACTGCCACTGACGTTTCCAGACACTAATACAGTGATCAGTGTTAAAAATATACACTGTTACTGTACTCATGACCAGGGGCGGACTGACAACTCATGGGGCCCCCGGGCAATAGGGGATAATGGGGCCCCTGCAGTGGTGTATTTCGGTTTTGTGCTGCCCTAGGCAACACAAAAATTGTCTGCCCCCACAGACACCAACCAATACAAACCCCCCTTCACCCTCCTGCAGAGAAAGCCTGACGTTGACCAACAACACCCCCCACCCGGGAGAGAGTCTTCCACTACCCCCCCCCCCCCCCCCCCCCCCCCCCCCAACGATGGAGAGACACTCCTCTTCACAGCTCCGGACATCCCAAAGAATGAGTGTCAGGCTCTACATACACCATCATGCTGCCCGCAGCCTCTCCCAGATCCCACCTGGTTTCCAAGATGCGCGTGTCCCTTATTTCATCCCTTCTTCTGGGGGGAGGTGCTGCCCCCCTGAAAAATGCCACCCTAGGCAAGTGCCTTGTGGTAAATACACCCCTGGGCCCGTGTCCTTGCCCACACTCAAAGCACACCCAAAAAAAGCTTATAAAATAAAAATGTACCAGGGGCATTTCATGGGGGCCCCCTACTGACCCTGGGCAGTGTCTGAGTACTCAAATGGTCAGTCCGCCCCGCTCATGACACTGGCTGGGAAGAGGTTAACATCTAGAGAAATCAAGGGGGTTAAATGTGTGCCTAACAATGTTTAGTGTGTTATTTTTACCAAGAAATGTGCAGGTTTTTACTCCCTGCTTTGCAGGGAGAAAAAAAAAAAAAAAAAAGACAAACCACACACACACACACACACATTGCTGCTCCATTGAACCAACACAGGGCTCTCTTCTGTCATTTGCTGAGCCGATCAGGGGTCTTGGCCATAAATCATTGGCCGGAACCCGCTAATTGGCTTGTGCTGCATCAGATGGAAGCACAGTCTTCCAGGTCCGTGCGTGCATGGGTGAGCGGACCCGGAAGAAAGCCGCGACGTACAGATATGTGATTGTGCCTGTACAGGCTGACCTGCCGCAGCAAATGTACTGTGGTGGGTCAGCAAGAAGATAATGTATGGCCAGCCTTACATTCCCAGCATGCCGGGAATGCTAACTGTCACTTTTGCTTGTGCTCTCAACCAAATTGTCAAACTATCAAATGATGGCTGGTGTCATAACTGATCACATGTGCAGCACCTTGGTAGTTGCAGATCAAACAGAGGCTAAGATGGCAGCTTGCTTGGCTGAAAAAGATAGGAGGGTTTAGTTCCACTTTAAACTCTGCTGGGGGAAAATTACTAAATACTCGAGCACACAGAATGTGGAGAAGCTGAGCATAGTAACCAATCAGCTTCCATCTTCAGCTTTTTCAGTTAGGCTTTGCGAATGAAAGATAAAAGCTAATTGGTTGCCATGAACAGCTGCTCCACTTTTAGTAAATCCCCCTCTCTCTGCATACTTGCACTGTTGGGGTAGTTGTGAAAAGGTCTGCGCACCACTTGTGGAATGAAGCTACTTTCACCATTTTATTTCCAAGCACTAAGCTCTTACCTTCTGTCTCTTATGTCTCCCAAGGTCTCCATCCTGGGCCTTGGCTTCACGCGCTCTCTGCAGTTCATCAGATGTGAGGCCTCTGACGGTGCTGTAACTTCTGACTTGTCCTGTGTTCATTCCAGACGTTCCTACGCCTGTCTTCTGCGACCACTGACCAGGGTTTGTCCTGGGGGGCGGCTCCTCTTCTCCTGGAGGAAACTCTGACATCACATTCCAGGTATCTGCATTGAAATCAGAGGATGCTGCGCGCACTCTAGAATCGGTCTGCCGGACCTATACAAGAAACAAAGAAAAAAAGCCAAATGAATAACCCAATAAACCAAATTAATATAAACAACAGAACTTTTATTACAGCAAATAGACCCGTTTGGGGAAAATATTTGACCAAATATTATGTATACAGTGGGGAAGTGATGGAACCTGGATTTATTGCAGTCCAAGTCCCTTTTTGGAAGAGCCTAGTCCACTATTGGGCCTTGTGACAACTTTCACCAGAGAAAATAAGTTGAAGCTCAAACTTTTACAGTTGTCACCGTAATTATTTATTTTAGGTACTTATATAATGCTGTCAATTTATGCAGCGCTTTACATACATATTGTACATTCACATCAGTCCCTAACCCTCAAGGGGTGTACAATCTAAGGTCCCTAACTCACATTCATACATACACATATTAGGGCCAATTTAGACAGGATCCAATTAACCTACCAGCATGTCTTTTGGAGTGTGGGAGGAAACCGGAGTACCCGGAGGAAACCCACACAGGCACAGGGAGAACATACAAACCCCATGCAGGTGGTGCTGTGATTGGGATTCGAACCAACGACGCTAGTACTGCCAGGCGGAAGTGCTAACCATTTAGCCACTGTGCTGCCCCATAGCAGGAGGTTCAGGAAAATCTTCCAATGGGAACACTCGATCCAATGACAACTATCAGAATTGGAATTTCCTCTCATTTTTGGAAGATTTTCTATGTACTTCCTGTGTTTTTAGGGACAACCATTGGAGAGAAATCTCCCCAATGGGGACAGAGACAGCAACAAAAAACTTGAGAAAAGGGGTGCTTAAAATGATCAGCTTTTATTAATTTTTTACATGCAAAACCTTTATCTCAAAAGGAAAAAAAAGGGAAGGGGAAAGTGGTTTGCTGTAACTGCTTACATTATAAGCCGCGAACTGGAGTTTGGCTTACATTTGTTTAGTGTATTTTTATCTCAAATCTGCTAGTTCCACTAACACTCTCCTCCCCCCAGACGGACAATGCTGCTGTCCAAAAGGTGATTCCTTCATCCAAAATGGGGGCACTCTAATACAGGAGGTGTATTACTAGCCAGATCACCAGGCGAAAAAAAAAAGTCTAAAAAATAAAAACTAAAAAAACGCAGCCACCACATGTATGGATTGGTAAGCTGCAGTATATTAGATTTAGGGTTTTGGGTTTAATACCGCTTTAAACTGGCCATAGAAAGCTCAAATTTCAGCACATTCATACTGTAGGTACCACCTGGCTCAACAAAAGTCGATTTGAGCCAGGTGAAAAAAAAGTATTGGCCAAACAACTGCAATCAATTATTCAGCAGTGCCATTGTATTCAGGTAGGTACTTAGGCTGCCTGTGTATGTTAGCCAGCAGCATGGATGGGGAAAACAATCGATTTTCTCATGGACGTTGAGCCGTGTATTGCTAGCTTAAAGCAAGCCATAGATCATACAATATTCTTTCCTTCGACCATGGGTGGAAGGTATGAAAATCGCTCTATTCCAAAGACCGGTTGCAGGGGTCCCTGAGGATGATGTGGCATCTGTCTTTGTGCTGGAGACAAGATCAGCAGTCAAAAAGGGGATCCACCAACTGTTATAAAAGAGGACATAGATGGAGATTGTGATGAAGTATTATGGATGGAACTGCACATGGGGGTGCGTACTACAAAGGTAGTCATTGGAGTTTGTCATAAGCCTCCCAGAGGGGGTAGAGATTCAGCTCTTTGTGCACATCCAAAGGGCTGCAAGGGCTGGGACAGTGATAATAATGGGGGATTGTAACTACCCAGAACTGACTGGAATAATGGCACTGCAGGAACATTTAAAGGCCAAAAATTCATAAACCTATTACAAGAAAATTTTAGGGTACACCTCATAGAGGCCCCAACTAGGAATGATGCTCTGCTGGACTTAGTAATCTCAAACCATGTAGAGCTTATTACTAATGTTCATATAAATGAACATCTGTAAACAACAAGCACATCCAGGAAAGCTAAAAACATTCAACTTTAGGAGAGCTAATTTTTTCAAGGATGAGAGCTGCTCTCAAGACTTGGATTGGGAGGGAATATTGCCATCAATAAACACGGAGCAGAAATGGGGAGTTTCCTCAAAAAGACTATATGAAAACACTGCAAAATATATTACTATGGGAAACAATTTTAAAAGGCTAAAAATAAAACCTATGCGGCTTATGGCCAAAGTAAAAAAAAAAAAAAAAAAAAAGAGCTATAAAATAAGAAAAAGAACTTTTATTAAATATAAATATGAAGGAACGCTCTTCGTTTAAATATTACAAAGAATATATCAGAATATGTAAAAATGAAACCAAGGCTGCAAAAATTGAAAATGAACGACAGATTGCAAAAGATAGCAGGGCAAACCCCAAAAAATTCTTCAAATATATTAATAGTAAAAAGGTCAGGTCTGAGCATGTAGGCCCTTTACAGAATAATCTAGAGTGGGTGACTGGGGACAAAGAGAAGGCACATTTATTAAATACCTTCTGTATACAAAGGAGCATGAGGGTGGGGTAGTATGATACTGACAGCTCCAAATGATCCACAATGGCTCAAAATTTATATGGTCCAGAAATATTTAGATAGAATAAAAGGTGAATGAAGCACCTGGACCGGATGTCAGACACCCACAGGCCCTTAAAAAAAAAAAAAAAATGAGATCTGTAATTTTGAAGCCATTGTTTCTAATTTTTAGGGACTCTAATGACTGGCATAGTACCACTGGATTGGCGTGGTGCCTTTTTGTAAAATAACAATCATGTTTATACCTACTGTGCAGTGGTTTTGCACAGGAGCAGCTTGGATCCTCCTCTTCTTGAGTCCCCCGCAGGCTCTCCTAGCTCCTCCTGTCTGTCAGGTGCCCCCACAGCAAGCAGAATGCTATGGGGGTACCCGCTGCTTTGTGTGTCCATTCACACACGGAGCCGTGGCTTGGCCCTCCCCCCTCTCTCTCCTCACTGGCTGACTGGCTGTGATTGACAGCAGCGGGAGGTAATGGCTCCCGCTTACTGCCTCAGCCAATGAGGAGGCAGAGACCCAGGACAGCCGCGGCTGTCATTCACATCACTGGATCGCAATGAGGCTCAGGTAAGTATTGGGAGCTGCTACACACATAGAATGCATGGAAGTAAAAAACCTTCAGCCTTTACAACCACTTTAACTTCTATAGTTGGGAAGATACTGGAGAGTTTAATAAAAGACCACATAGATGAGTTCTTGCTAGAACAAAAATAATTTAAGAAACAGACAGCATGGATTCATGAAAGACAGTTGTCAAACAAATCTGATTTAATTTTATGAGGAGGTGAGCAAAACCTTGGACAAAGGAGTGGCGGTGGACGTGGTATACTTGGACGGAAAGGTGGCTGTGGACGTGGTATACTTGGACAGAAAGGTGGCTGTGGACGTGGTATACTTGGACAGGGGGGTGGCGGTGGACGTGGCATACTTGGACAGAGGGGTGGCGGTGGACGTGGTATACTTGGACAGAGGGGGTGGCGGTGGACGTGGTATACTTGGACAGAGGGGTGGCGGTGGGTGGTATACTTGGACAGAGGGGTGGCGGTTGGACGTGGCATACTTGGATTTTGCAAAAGCGTTTGACACAATTCCCCACACACGGCTAATGTGTAAGGTAAAGTCTACAGGCTTGGAAAAATCTGTATGTAAATGGATAGAAAACTGGCTAAAAGATCGTATTCAGGGAGTAGTGGTTAATGATTCATACTCTGAATGGTCTGGGGTCATCAGTGGTGTACCCCAAGGTTCAGTGTTGGGACCCTTACTTTTTAATATATTTATAAACAATATAGGGTCTGAGATTATAAATCCCATTTCAGTCTTTGCAGATGACACCAAGCTGTGCAGTGTAATAACGTCCTTACAGGATGTCTCCAATTTACAAGCCGACCTCAATGCTCTGTGTAATTGGGCAACTATGTGGCAAATGAGGTTTAATGTTGATAAATGTAAGGTTCTGCACTTGGGGGCTAAGAATATATATGCATCATACATACTAGGGGGGGTACAACTGGGGGAATCAATGGTGGAGAAGGATCTGGGGGTTCTGGTACATCACGAGCTTAATAATGTCAATGCAATGCCAAGCTGCGGGTTCTAAAGCGAGCAAAATCCTCTCTTGTATTAAAAGAGGTATAGACTCCAGAGAGAGATATCATTTCCCCCGGTACAAATCATTAGTAACACCTCATCTGGAATATGCAGTTCAGTTTTGGGCACAAATTCACAAAAAGAACATTGGGGAACTGGAGAAAGTACAGAGAAGGGCAACCAAACTGATACGAGGCATGGAGGAGCACAGCTATGAGGAAAGATTAGAGGAAATGAATTTATTCTCTCTTGAGAAAGAGGAGATTAAGGGGGGATATGATCTCCATGTATAATACATAAGGGGGGATATGATCTCCATGTATAATACATAAGGGGGGATATGATTATGATCTCCATGTAGAATACATAAGGGGGGGGGGGTATAATCTCCATGTATAATACATAAGGGGGGATATGATATCCATGAACTACATAAGGGGGTATGATCTCCATGTATAAATACACAGGGGGGATAAGGGGGCACCATGTATAATACATAAGGGGGAAAATGATTATGATCTCCATGTATAATACATAAGGGGGGATAAATTCCATGTATCACATAAGGGGGGATATGATCTCCATGTATAATACATAAGGGGGGATATGATCTCCATGTATAATACATAAGGGGGGCCATATGATCTCCATTATAATACATAAGGGGGGATATGATCTCCATGTATAATACATAAGGGGGATATGATCTCCATGTATAATACATAAGGGGGATATGATCCATGTATAATCTGATTGCCTAAGGGGGATCATAAGATCTCCATTTTAATACATAAGGGGGGATATGATCTCCATGTTAATACATGGGGGGATATGATCTCCATGTATAATACATAAGGGGGGATATGATCTCCATGTATAATACATAAGGGGGATATGATCTCCATGTATAATACATAAGGGGGATATGATCTCCATGTATAATACATAAGGGGGGATATGATCTCCATGTATAATACATAAGGGGGGATATGACTCCATGTATAATACATAAGGGGGGATATGATCTCCATGTATAATACATAAGGGGGGATATGATCTCCATGTATAATACATAAGGGGGATATGATCTCCATGTATAACCAGGTACATAAGGGGGATATGATCTCCATGTATAATACATAAGGGGGGATATGATCTCCATGTATAATACATAAGGGGGGGATTGATCTCCATGTCTAACACATAAGGGGATATGATCATTTAAATACATCAGGGTTTATATAGTGAACACAATGTAGAGTTATTCACCCCTGAGGTCATCCACAGAGCCACGACAGGGGGCACACTTTACGTCTGTGGTCCTAACTCTAAAATTTAATCTCCATAACACGGCAAAGGTTTCTTCACAGCAAGATCATGTGCAAATGTGGAACAGACTCCCTCAAGAGTTGGTTCTGGCCTTCAGTGGATTGCTTTAAAAAAGTCCTGGATTCTTAGATACACAGAATATAACTGGATATAACATTTACAGGTAAAGTTGATCCAGGTTAACATCTGATTTAGCCTCTCGGGGGATCAGGGAAGGATTTTTTTCCCCTGCAGGAGTAAATTGGATCATGCTTAGCTGGGTTTTTGCCTTCCTCTGGACTACTGTGGGTGTAGGATTATACTTTTTATTTTCTTCCCCTTTATGGTTGATAGACAAGGGGACTTGTGTCTTTTTTCAGCCAGACTAACTATGTAACCAGCCCAGAATGGAGCTTCTCACTATAGAAACTGTAGTGTGGCACTGGAACTCCGAAGAAGCCTATCTACTCTGCACTTTAGTCCCTTGCTAAGGCATGCCATACATTATGCAATTTTCTTTGTGGTTGAAGAAAAGGAAATTGCTTGATTCCCTCGTCAACATAGTCAGTGTTGATGGGAGAATCCCTCCTGCAGTGCTACTGTGTTCTGTCAGAAGGAAGCCTTCTCTGCCAGCAGAACACAATGATCACTGCCGGCTGCTATAGCCACAAGTAATCGCATGCAAAAAAAGTTGTTCTGAAGTCGATTGATGAATAGGCTTCAGTACAACCAGCCTGCCCATAGATGGATTGAATCTAAGCCAGTCCCTGCTAATCCGGCTAAGATTCGATCCATCTATGACCGGCTTTACTCTTCTAGAATGATTACAAAACAGGTCATTATTTGTTTTATTTAGAGAGAACAAAAGACATTTAAAAATGTGTGTGTATAGTGCTCGCCTTTCTCGCTAAGCAGCCAACCAGGTTTTCCCCTTCTTGCTGGTAGGGGCAGGTTAGAAAATGAAATGAAGAAACTAACTGGTTACTAGCTGGAAAATCTTTAATTACCTGCATGTTTGTGAACGCACTCCCCACACATCGCTCCGCAGTAGCCTGCATAGATCTCACGGCGCCTCCCAAGGTAGAGCTGCAGCAGCCATCCGCAGTTCTTCACAACCCAACTTCGCTACAGCCTGGGCCACGCGGGATGCTCCCTGTAACACCAACACCAACTCGCCCAACATTCTACAAGTCTGAAATGTAAAACGTCAGCAGGAGGTTTATACATATATACTTTAATGATGTGTACAAGGCAATCACATGCAGATTTTACGAGAACTGGTGATGGAAACATTCTGAAGGTCACTAAACAGGATTACAGTGCTGTGTGTACTGAAAGAACAGAAGTCTGCCTACAACACACTACACAGATTCTAAAAAGTGAATACCAGGGCTTTGGATATTAACCCCTTAATTCACCACAGCTGCTGTACAAAGTGCATCAGCCCTTATATATACACTATTTTGTCAAATGGATTGGGACGTCTGGCCTTTACACACACACATGAACTTTAATGACATCCCAGTCTTATGCAGGCCATAGACGGGTCGAAAATCGGCCGATTTTTCTTTTAAAAAACGAAAAAAAAAATCGGTCGTTCAAGCGGCCGATGTTACCAGCAACGGTAAAAAAAAAAAAAAAAAAACGGCCGATTTTCATCCCGTCTACAGCCGGCAAAAAGTGTCCCTGTAGAGAGCTCCGCTATTTCTTTGACAGTTCCTTGACATTTATAGCGGTTGCAACAATGTATTTGTATCCATTTAGGATACAGATGTTTTTTTATTCGGAAACAAATAGAATACATTGTTGCAACCACTATAAATGTCAAGGAACTTCTCAAAGAAATAGCGGAGCTCTCTGCAGGGACACTTTTTGCCGGACTGGAATTCCTCTTCTTCTTCATCCTCTTCATCCTCTTCTTCTTCATCCTCCTCTTCCTCTTCTTCATCCTCTTCTTCTTCTTCATCCTCTTCTTCCTCTTCCCCTTCTTCTTCTTCTTCATCCTCTTCCTTTCTTCTTCTTCTTCATCCTCTTCTTCATCCTCTTCTTCTTTTTGTCTTCTCTTGCAGGTCACTGCTCATGCGCAGATTTTTTTTTCGGTAAAAGATCGGCCGATTTGCCCATCATTGCCGCGAAAATCGGCCGATTGGCAAAATTGGCCGATTTTTTTCCAACTTTACCGATAAAAAAAAATCTGCCAAAAATACTGAAAAATGCGGCCGAACATTTAGCCCACTAACGATCCGAAAATCGGCCGATTTTATTTTCGGCCGAAAAATTGGCAGTTTTTTGACCCATCTATGGCCTGCATTAGTCCGTAGGTTTCAATATGGAGTTGGCCCCGCCCTTTGCAGCTATAACAGCTTCAACTCTTCTGGGAAGGCGGTCCACAAGGTTTAGGAGGGTGTCTATGGGAAGGTTTGACCATTCTTCCAGAAGCACATTGGTGAGGTCAGCACTGGTGTGCAGTCATGTTGGAACACGAAAGGGCCATCCTCAAACGGTTTCCAATTTCAAAGCATGAAATTGTCCAAAATGTCTTGGTATGCTGACACCTTAAGAGTTCCCTTCATTGGAACTAAGGGGCCAAGCCCAACCCCTGAAAAGCAACCCCACACCATAATCCCCCCTCCACCAAACTTTACACTTGGCACAATGCAGTCAGGCAAGTACCGTTCTCCTGGCAACCGTCAAACCCAGAGACGGTCAACGGATTGTTGTGCTAATCTGAAGGCCACACCAAGTTTGGAGGTCCTTAGCCATTGACTCTGCAGACAGTTGGCAACTACTGCGCACTTCAGCATGTAGTGACCCCGCTCTGTCATGTTAAGTGGCCTTCCACTTAGTGGCTGGGTTGCTGTTGTTCCCAGTTGCTTCCACTTTGTTATAATACCACTAACAGATGACCGTGGAATATTTAGTAGCCAGGAAATGTCACGGATGGACATATTGCACAGGAGGCAACCTATCACGCTTGAATTCACTGAGCTCCTGAGAGCGACCCATTCTTTCACAAATGTTTGTAGAAGCAGTGTGCATGCCTAGGTGATGATTTTATACACCTGTGGCCATGGAGGCGATCGGAACACCTGAATCTAATGATTTGGAGGGCTGGCCCAATACTTTTGGCAATATAGTGGATCTCACATAGCATGTAAGCAGAGATGGAGGGAGACTGCCATATTGGGAAAGCAACTCAATATTGAACCCTACGGACTAAGACTGTGATGCCATTGAAGTTCATGTGCGTGGAAAGGCAGGCCAACCAATACTTTTGGCAATATAGTGTATATAATAAAGAAGGAATACAGTTGGCCCAGGATCAGAAAGTTAACGTGGTTCTCCATGACACCAAGCGCTGTATGACTAACCTGTGATAGGTAGTCATACAAATCTGGTGAGTGTTCTGAGTTGGTGGATCACTGAAACACTCCGGCATTGACTGAAGAGAGCAGGTTTGAGCACGGACATAGAAAAGTTATTTTGTATTACACTGTGAAGAATTGGAAGCACAAGGACACTTTTTATGCACAAAGACACATTATTGATACACAGAAATTACTTTATAGAGAGAAAACAGGTGGCGCACACACCTAGTGCATTATTATTATACAGTATTTATAAAGCACCAATAGTTCGCTCAGCGCTGTACATTACAAAGGGGGACAGAACATGTGACAGAACAATACCAATACAATGCAAAACATGAGGGGATTGAGGGCCCTGCTCCTTGGAGCTTACAATCTAGGAGGGACGGGGATGGTGGCACAGGAGATAGGGGGGGATGGAGTGGTAGGAAGAGTGGAGGAGGTCGGCAGGTTAGCAGGGGGTGGGGTAGGCTTCCCTGAAGAGATGGGTTTTCAGGGTGCGCCTAAAGGAGAGGAGAGTAGGTGATAATCTGATGGGTTGGGGCAGGGAGTTCCAGAGGATGGGTGACACCCTGGAGAAGTCCTGGAGGCGGGCATGGGAAGGCATCAACAGCAAGGCTCCTACTTTCCATTCATCATACATCTGCATCAGAGGCTGGTCATCAGCTCTGAGGAAAGGGATTCGTCCCCCAAACGCGTCAGCCATTTGACCGCACTGACAGTGAGAACACCTTGCCTGCCGTTGTGGCCATTGTAATTTTTCTATGCTTTTTAGATACATGCTTCATCTGTGAGTATGTTTTTATTATTCTTTCACTCCTACAATAAACCTTGGATAATGCACTAGGTGTGTGCGCCACCTGTTTTCTCTCTATCCAGTGGCTGATTTCCCCGTCTGAGGAGGTGTTAGGGATCCGGGTATGACCAGAAATGTGTGGACTGACACAGGGAAGTAGCAGGCTTCAGGAACACAGGCGTAGTCAGGGCTGGAGAGGTGAAATGGTCAGGCAGGCCGTAAGGTAGTGTCAGGTGCCGCCTGGCAGTGTCTCTAGCAGCCCACAGCACAGATTTCCTCAGGGTGCGGGGTCTAAGTCCCAGCCTGCTATTTACCAGGGCCCCTGATGGTGGGGATGGACTTGGTGCAGACTGGAACCAGGTTGCGACCCCTGAGTGCGTCCAGCTGTGGTAGAGAGTACTTGCAGGGGAGTGCAGGAACGGAGTCTGATGGGAAAAGGAAGGCAGACTTACTAAAGGTGATCCGTGCGGGATGGATGGATCGTCGGGTGAAGTAAGCGTAGTCAGACAGGCCGGGTCGGTATCGTGCGGGCAGAGTGGTACAGGAGGAGCAAGCAGAGAATGGTCAGGGTCACAAGCCAGGTTCAGCAGGTAGCAGGCAGCGCGGTACCGAGGATCAGGCAGAAGGATGGTCAGGCAAGCCAGGGGTTCAACAGGAGAAGTCAGCAGAGGTCAGGATCAGGCAGGGTCGGCAACAAATCAGATCGTCAGCAGAACAGGAACACAGGATACCAGGTACAGGGGCTCATGGGAAACATACACCAAGGTCCAGATCACAGGCCTGGTCATTCCTTATATGCACCTCCTGCAATCAGCCTCAGGTGTTTTGGCTGATTGCAGGAATGAGCCTCTGGTTGCTGAGAGCACCCGCTGGCCAGCCCTGGTACTGCATGTGAGTCCCACCACTATTGGCAAGTCCATTCCTGACAGGAGGGCTGCACCCCTGAAGCATTTCCTTTGATTGTCGCTGTCCTGGAACCCTTGGCTTCCCTTTTGGCTATGCATATCCTGAGGCGCTGGAGAGTACATACGATATCCGGTTCGACAGAAATGACTTTATTGAGATATGCTGCACTTTATTGGGATGTGAAAGTAGTTTACGGTGAAATAGTATTTAATTGTTTTATGTACGAGGATATGTTGTTCATTTTATAGGACATGTTTATTTGATGTGCACGTTTGTATAAAGTTGCACTTTATTTGGATATGCAAAAAACCGATATCGCCGGAAGTGAGTTGAAGTACACTGTACATATCTACAGTTACATCACATAGCGCCTCTTAGGCTACGTTCACACTAGCCTTGTGTGCAGGCGGCAGAGAGGCGTTTGGGAAGCGTTTTTACCGCTTCCCAAACGCCTCTGCCAACTCTGCACATTACAGCACATGGTGCTGTTCTAACAGGAGCGTTTGCGTTGCGTTGCGTCGCGGCAAAACGGACGCCTCTGGTCGAGTCAGGAGGCTTTGAAGCCTCCTATTCTCGTCTATGGTGCCGCTCCGCAAACGCCCGGCCGGCGTTTGCGGTGCGGTTGCGACGCGGTTTGCGGGGCGTTTGCGGAGCGGTAACACCACTCAAATGCATTATAAGCGTTTGTGGGGCGTTATATAACGCTCGGCAAACGCCTAGCAACCGCCGCTAAACCGCGCATGCGGCGTTTGCGGAGCGTTTGCCGAGCGTTAAAAACGCTCCGCAAACACCGGACCAACGATTGCCAAACGCTATAGGGGCGTTTGGCAAGCGTGGCAAAACAGCCTAGTGTGAACGAGCCCTTACTCCTTATCAATGTTAGAAAGAGAGGAGTGCTTCACCATTCAGTGGAAAATGATCACTGTCTGTGGCACTGATTGGGAGATCTCCCCTCATTTTCTGGAAGATTTTAAAACTTCTTAAAACCACCATTAAACCCACCAAAAAAAAAAAAAAAAAAAATGATTGCAGCTTACCAATCATTAGATATGGTGGCTGTGTTACTTTTCCTTTTTTAGGCTTTTTACTTTGTATTTTCTCCTGGTGATCAGA